GAGTGCTGATCAATACATCGTCTGTTTGTTTATTATTATATTTGCCACTTTATAAACACAAAAGGAACAGATAGAAATGTACGAACCCTGGTATAAGACTGCCCTGTGTGGGTTTTAGAGTCCCACTTGGGATAGGACGAGTGGATAGACCTACTGCCTCCCTAACAAGCATGTCGTAGGAGTCAAATAATAATGGGTTTCCTTCGAAGTTTGAGTGGCTCTGCCTGAGAGGTGAGGAACTAACAGTCTGCGTAAGTCAGATGTGTAAAACGGATTTAGCATGCAAATCTCATATTATGTCAATAGACTGAAGCCAAGAAGTAGCCGAACAAGCAGAACTTTCCGCTTGAGTTTACTGCCTGTTAACACGAAGAAGCAAGAAAAGGTTTTATATACAAGCGGGACATGAATGATACAGGTATCGAGGTGGACTCATAGGAACAAAATGCCATGGACCGTGTAGTGTGGAAAGATCACATCAGGAAGGGAATGAGACTGAAGGAAGAAAGGATTGCAGAAAGGACGAGAGCTGAGCGTCTGAAAAGAAACGGATTAAACACAAATGTTGTTAACAATGGTCCTGAAATCCCATGCTATCATTGTGGAAGACTTTTCTTGACACGGGCGGGTCTTGCTAGTCACACTCGCCTTCGCCATGGGCTGTGAGTCTCATGCCTCCTCATAGCGCAATATAACACTATCGTCTGGAAAGACGGAAAGGTGCTATTGAATATACAAATTACCTGCAGGACAGAATACAAGACAAGGAAGATTGAGAAAGACCCACTTTTTTGTTGTCTTTATAACAATTGTATTGTGATGCTCCAATCTCATCCACGGTGAGGCCCCATTTTAATCCATGGTGAGACCTCAGTCTCATCCACTGTGAGGCCCTAGTCTCATCCATGGTGAGGCCTCAGTCTCATCCACGGTGAGGCCTCAGTCTCATCCACGGTGAGGCCCCAGTCTCATCCACGGTGAGGCCCCAGGCTCATCCATTGTAAGGCCCCAGTCTCATCCACGGTGAGGCCCCAGTCTCATCCATTGTAAGGCCCCAGTCTCATCCACGGTGAGGCCCCAGTCTCATCCACGGTGAGGCCCCAGTCTCATCCACTGTGAGGCCCCAGTCTCATCCATGGTGATGATCCAATTAGCTAGAGAAATAGAGACTTCCAGGAGTGCAGTGACGAGAGCGACGTTCTGGAAATACCTGCTGATGGATGGTGGGTGTTTTCGGCGGCACAAATAAATGACCTCGGTCTAAAGAGAATCGTGCGGCGTCTGCTAGTGACCATGGGAATCAGGCCAGCCGTTAAGGCTCGAGGGGAAGGCAGGACGTTTATGCAATCAGAGTACTACTGGTACTAAGGGAAGGGTAACTCTGTGCTGCCTGCTAAAGATGGGGACGGCGCACTTATGGGAATGTCACGAGTGCGAGAATGTTAGACCCACCTCGTTTCAGCTCTGGTGTCATTTGTTGGGTTTTTCCCCCTTGAATTCTACATTCACAAGAGCATTTGTTTGTTGTTTGTTTTAGTATCCAGAAGCCATGAGTTGTTATCCCTTAGGCTCGGTATTATGGATAATACAACCTTTCGGCCTTGATTCCATTTTAAATACCGTAAATCTGGGAGAAATGTGGCTTTTCTGCCCACCCCCGGGAGTGAACCCGGACCACAAGGAGTTCGTCACCCGCTCACCGCGCAATCCGGTTTAGCCAACTACGCTAGAGAGACGGGCTCACAAGAGCATCAAAGACATTGGCTCTCAGCCTTCCTAAAGCCGGTAACCTTTATTACAGTTTCTCGGGTTGTAGCGACCGCCAACCACACACTTATTTTCGTTGCTACTTCATAACTTCAAAGAATATGTGATTCGCGATGGTCTTTGGTGACCCCTGTGAAAGGGTCCTTCGACCCTCCCCCCCCCCCCCCCCCCCCCAAAAAAAAAAAAGGTCGCGACCTGCAGGTTGAGAATCACTTATTTAAGATGTTATCTGATTCAACCATTCAAAATAAAAACCTTAAATAATTCGATAAATTATCAAGCACGCTTTATTCTATTTTACGTTCCTACTAAATTAGATATTTTTTTAGTTGAAAGTAGACGTACGGTTATAATTTCGATCTTTATGGCTGCTAACAGTTAGTAGTTGCATGGTCTAAATGCTGACAAGTGAAGCATTGAATTATAATGTTTTGCAAAGTGAAATCTCATGCTACTGAAAACACATTTGTCTTTCGGGTTGCCTTGGTTATGACAGACGCTGAAAGGAGACATACTTTTGAGAGCCGATTGATCTGAAATCTTTGTAGCAGAGAGATCGATTGTGATTTACGATTGATGGTGAGCAATCAATACGGTTAAGTAAATCGGTTGGCATATGTTTAGTAAGGATCCGAACACCTGATATGCAAGCTACATTCGTGGGTCGCCACAAAGTGAAGTATGATTCACAACTGGCTGAAAATGCCTTCACAGATCGTCAAAGGATTGATAATCGACGTTACCTGTAGCATAGGAGCATAGTATGATAAAAATACAGTTGCTGTGTGAACAACGAATGTCTGAGAGGGCCGAATGTAAGACCGGCCAGTTTGCCCGATATATAATCCATGAAAACAAACAGTTTCTTCTTCTTCTTCTTCTTCTTCTTCTTCTTCTTCTTTCTTCTTCTTCTTCTTCTTCTTCTTCTTCTTCTTCTTCTTCTTCTTCTTCC